CGACCTACTGTGTTTAGACCTATGTATATATTACCTACCGACCTATGTGTACATACCTATGTATCTATTACCGACCGACCTACAGTGCATAGACCTTTGTATATATTATCTACCGACCTACTGCATGTGTATAGACCCACTAAAATATTACCTACCAACCTATGTGTACATAGTGCAGATAATATTATAGTACATGTAATATACTAGATATGCAGGTATAAATAATCCATAGTGCATGTAATATTGAAGCTCGTATGCTAGGACTTAAATAATTAGTTTGTTCCAGCGCCAACTTAATAAAAAATTTGAAAGGCAAACACAAAGTAAATTCGGAATATCTTCATCGAAAATGTTTGAATGCGATTTCGACATTTAGTTCAATAATTTAGAGAATACAAACACAATCAACAAAGGAAAGACAAATTTAAAAGAAAGGGATTAAGTCATAAGTAGCAAAGAAACTGATCAGTTAACATAATAACCTAATGATTAAGAATTTCAATTTGATACGAACTGTAAGCGTTTATAGCGGTAGTATCTACATGCAAATTCCTAGCAAAGCTGATAAAGTCAACCTAAATACAAAGTCAAACGCTTTGGGGACTTCAAAAAGTGTATTTTTGTGTATGTATTAAAATGCACCGGTCGAATACATGAATTATTATAATAAAAACCGCAAAACACATCTTCAGACAATATCAATATCGTTGTGTATGGATATATTACAAATCCGATGAATGTAATAGGAGCTATTCAAGATCCTATCCAAAAAAGTAGCGGACCAGGCTAAAATTAATTTAAAGAAAACTGAACAAACAAAGAAAAATAAATTCAGAACTAGTTCGATTTTTTGCAAATAGTTTAACCGTTAAGAAAAAATAATAAAAGATTATGCTTTGCTAAAAATAACAGAGGTGAACATTAAGGCAATGTTCCCAGGCAATAGGTATGAAATCTCTGCACATTTTAAGTTGTCATCTCTGCTGATTTGAAGCCTAGAATCTCTGCATATTCAAAACTGGGTTTCTCTGCATATTTTAAACAGGGATTCTCGGTATATACTAAACTTTGAATCTTGCCCTAATAACGCTTAGAGTTCTTATTTACTTAAGTTTTTTATTCTTTAAATTTTCCTATCTTGTGAATTTCTTTCGCTGAACTTAGGTTTTCTACTCTTTCGTCCAAATTAATCTTTTCTCTATTGACTGGAGGGTTTTTTTTATTCTTTAACTGATGACATGAGAGTGTAATGAGAGTCTAATGAGCGTGCTGTGAGATCGAGCATCTACTTAAAATGACTTAAGGTAGCTGGTACCGTCTGGTGTCGTCTTACTTTGATAATGTGGATTATAGTCTGGTATTGTCGATACTTGATCACTACCGTCGATGAAACCACGTGTATGAGAGAATTATTTATTTCTAAAAATTGGCAAGCGACGAAAAAACGCCCAGCAAATATAACAGGCCCTCATCCAAAACTCTTTGGAGACCAATTGGTCTCAAAAAAGTTTACGATTTCTCGAAATCGAATTCTTTATTTCTTTTAAATGAAGAATTCTCGTGGTGCTTCTCATCCACGTGGATTCATCCACTGTAGTGATCAAGTATCGACGTTACCAGACAATAATCCACAGTATCAAAGTTTTACGATACCAGACGGTACCAGCTACCTTAAGGTATATTAAGTAGATGCTCGATCTCACAGCACGCTCATTAGACTCTCATATCAAGCGAGTAACGGGCGCGTTTTTTTAATTTTCTTGATAAAAGCAAAGATGCCTCATATTTTCAGGGATGTGACGGCATCTGAGCCTCGTGCCCGAGTTGATAATAGACACGTGTCTTTTTTCCAGCCTGCCTCTGACGCCCAAAATATACGTAGCCTAAAATGTTTCAAAAGCTGGCTGGACATTTTTAAAAGAATATGGTGCACCGCGTACTAAAGACACATAATTATTTCGCTAATTATGCAGAAGTTACAACGATATATAAGTAAGAATTCTACCGTTATACATTTTGTATTTAGCTCTGATGGGTTTTAAACGCTGTTCAAAAATATACCCATGTTTTTAAATAAAATCTACAGTACCGAGGTATGATAGGACATATATTAAGTACTGTGGGCTGAGTTGGGAGCGTAAACAGCGTTGTGGTCCCCGTTTATTTACTCTAGTAGGCAAGATCTATAGGTGTTATATGTATAGCATTTTTTGAAAGCTCCCTTGTTCGCCGGGCACAAAGGAGCTGTGTTTACGACACACAGGACCGTAAAAAGCTAGGATTTTTGTATGCTGATGTTTCCATTGAATACCTTATATCGCTGGTGACACATGAAAAGTATTCGTTACCATATAACTTTCCTGATTATTATCATATAAATATTTAACAGTATTTTTTCTTCTCTTGCAAGCTCAAAGATAGATCTCATGAAATTGTTCAACTCATCCTTGAGCGCAAAGGAAACGAAATAAATAGGTACAAAGAATACAATAAATACAGAGGAACACAATAAATAGAAATATTCTATTGTCATCAAACTGAAGAGAATAATTCTCGTCATATTTGCAGCTTAAATGGCAAAATATATGTTATGTGACTAAGTTTCAACTTATATCTGCATTCTTATAAATAATGCTGACCAATTCGACCAATAATGCAGTTGCTCTGAATTCTGTTTTCTTACAAATAATGCTGGTCTCAAATTTCGTATTAAGTTACAAAAATTTTTTTCAATGCATGTAATGAAAAATTCTCTAAATTTTTTCCTATTTCAGCTCATTTCTAAGAACTCCTTTATAAAATTTAGTACAAATCCTCATAAAAAGCATTATTCCAGTAGCTAGATTGCTTTAGCCAAAGAAGCGCTACCAGAAATATCGGAGATTATTTTATTGGAACCGGATAATTTCACACGAAATGTTAAGAAACTAATAAATGAACAACAGGAACATAATTTATAGAGTTGACCCAAGCTATGAGCTCAACGAATTTTATTCTGACATTGTTCAGCTGCAACATAGACATAATTCTAACGGCAAATAAAAACTTCCAAATTTTATTCAATACTTTTATAATAATGAAATTAACAACGAAGTAACTATGACATAAAGGCTTATCCCATGTGTGTGAAAAATCCGTATTTTGACCGCTTGAACTACACCAACTCAGTGCTTAACGTAAGGGATTATTATTATTCACGCGTACTGGCCGGCATGAACTTTTAGTCCCAGTAACTAAAGGGCTATGGCATTACTTTTGATTAATTTTTCAATTATTCCTCCATCGAAGAGAAAAATTAGGCTCAGATAACGTGAAAAATTATCCTTTGCGAGACGCTACACTGTTCGGAAAAACGTTGAAAATACGGTCGGGCTGACGTGTACAGTGACCGGCCGTGCCGTGTCATTCAACAATGAGGGTTGAATTTCACATACATATGTGTTACATATGTTCATTTTCGTGAAAAATATTTATTCGGTTTTCTTTTACGTTTCACAATATTCGTATTCTTTCGGTTTTATTTCTCGGTGCGGCCAGCCACTAATACGCAGCAAATAAAAACTGCCAAATTTTAATCAATACTTTTATGATAATGAGATTAACAACGAAGTAACTATGACACAAAGGCTTATCCCAAGTAAGTAAAAAAATCCGGGTTCTGACCACTTGAACTACACCAACTCAGTGCTACGTGAGAGATTATTTATTCACGCATACTGGCCGGCACGAACTTTCAGTACCCGTAACTAAAGAGCTATGGCATTACTTTTGATTTATTTATGATTCCTCCATCGACGGGGAAAATTAGGCTCAGATAACGTGAAAAATTATCCTCCTTTGCGAGACGCTACACTGTTCGGAAAAACTTTGAAAATACGGTCGGGCTGACGTATATAGTGACCGGCCGATCCGTGAAATTCAACCATGAGGGTTGAATTTCACATACATATGTGTTACATATGTTCATTTTCGTGAAAATATTTATTCGGTTTTATTTCACGGTTCACAATATTGGTATCCTTTCGGTTTTATTTCTCGGTGCGGCCAGCCACTAATACGCCGGTCTGACGGTTTTATGAACAGTGCAGAGTCATACAAAGGAAAATTTTTCACGTGATCTCAACGTCTCCCCACAAAGCGGAGACAATAGTGAACTATAGAAGATTCCGTTATTGAAGGCAAAAGTGTTCCGTCGACTGTACCGTTCACCGAGTCACAGCGTGGAAGTCACCGTCTATAATTTTAATGAGACGTTGTGAAGATAACGAGATAGAGGGCCCACTTGGTCGAGTGCCATCTCTTGTGGCAAGAACTGTCCTCATCTTCACTGCATGGCTGTTGTTACTTATTGATGACGGCTCCTGAACCATCAATTGTTCATAAAAGGAGAAATATTGGTTTCATTAATCATCTGTATGGGGTGTAGAAACCGTTAAGCTATTTTTTTAGAGAAAAAGATTAATTATATTGTATTGAATAATTGAGATGGCAGTGCTTCAATTTATTTATTACTTATAATTAAACAACTATAATTCTATTAAATTATTTAGATTGTTTTTGTTCTATTTTTTTCTTTGACAACATACAGACCGCTGGCATTATTGCATTTTCAGACACTAGATCACAATCTCTGCATTAATACCCAAAAAGGTACTGTTGGATTACATGTTCTTGTTAAATTTTTGAAGAAGTAGCTGGCCTGTTGTTACTTTAACGACCGAAACGCCCGGGACAGATGCTATCAGCTCCTTTGGAAATTCCTGAGAAGTTTGTCAAAGGAAAACTTCCCCTTTTTAGTGTATCGTCAGCCATTTTAGTATATGTTGTAATGTCACCTCAGAGCGCGAGAACATCAAAATCTTACGTTGCAATTGAAAAAAATCTTACGTACAGATTGAACGAAATTCCCAACACATATTTTATATTCTATATTAATGTTAACAGGAAACTTTGGAATGACGTCGTAGAGAATCAATAACATTGGATATATATTCCCTCAGAATACACAAATAGCAGCGAAGACTCCGACAAGATCGCCTGGGGCAATTCTTCGTCGCCACGGCAATGCAAATTCGAGCCTCGAGCTCTCAGCGTCTCTGCTTACGACTACCCGTACAGGAAGAGCACTTGGAGGAACATCACCGCCGCTGAGGCTGTTAAGGTCAGACATGGAGCGCCGTGGTATATCTTTTCAGGTGGGACATATAGTTTCCTGTTTTTTTTTTACGTGAGACATACAGTTTCGTGATATATTTTTGAAGGTGAAACTCGGAGCTTCGTGGTATTTATTTTAAACTGAGGTGCGGAGCTTCGTGGTATATTTTTTTAAACTGTGGTGCGGAGCTTCGTGGTATATTTTTTAAAGTGAAGTGTTTAGATTCGTCGTATTTTTTGAAGTGAGGCGTGGAGCTTCGAGGCATAATTTCCAAGGTGAGACATGATGCATCGTGGTATATTCTGGATGGTTTCTTGTTGGTGCCACTGGCCCTGAAAAATATTTGCTGAGAACAAGCTTGTGATCAGACCTGAATTGCTCACACATTTCACACATTTAAATGGAGTGAAGTAACTAGAATGTAAGGCACGATGCGACTCGCTTTATACAGTTATGGTGAATATATTGTCTTATGGAGAAACTATGAATTGTCACTGTTTATTCAAAACCCGATTAATTCCACTGTGAATACAAATTGCAGAGAATACGCTAATAATAATTAACTGTTTGTTATTTGCAAAGACAAATTTGGCACGAAAAATTTTAGCAACTCACAGGGGAAATATTCGGCAATGGAAATTCTTTGCCTGATTTCACGTTTTACAATTTTTTTCTACTTTTGCTGTGTGTAATGTAAGGATTTGTACATGCAATTACTTTCTTTTTGTTATTATTTTCTGATTGTTCATAATACGAGAGCAGAGCCGTCTCAAAAAATCCTCTATAGAAGCAAAACATTTAAAAAATTGGCATTTACCTCATGACAGTCACTTTTCTGTTATTGTCGTTTGTTAATAATAGAGCGAATAGGATGCTGGGCATCATTGGAGTTCTGCGCAGCCTTGAATGTTGCACTTTAATTTTCATTTAAAAGAACTTAAATAAATAGAGATATCTATAGTTGATTTCTAAAAAAAGAATTATAGGAATTTTATATTAAAATTATTGAACGATATTAAATCGTTGGTGATGACAATTATTATTTTTTGCCTTGCGAAGAGCTTGAAAATGCTTGAATCCGCGTAGAAATTGATATAATTGTGATTAAAAAGGACATTCTTCAACTTGGGCTTAAATTCAATTATGCACCTTTAATACGTTTCCTGTGTGGCAGGTGAATTATATGAAACTTATATGATAGAAATCATTTCTCTGATGTGAATGAAATTTTGAATTTTCCCCGGTTCATAATTAGTGAAAATTAAAAAAATAAAATTAACGTGAATTTTAGCTCTTGCAGGGCTCCTCATAAACACCGGATATCTTAATTTATTTGCTTGTGTACATATCTTGTAATATGAATGGCCTGTCGTGTTTGCCTCGGGCTAGCACGTCTAGCCTGTCCTCACTCACATGAAAGCAGCTGCTTCTCTCAGCTGTTAACAGATTAATCAGTCATCAAAAACACTGTTATAAGCTCTCCTTCTCTCTCTCTGTACGAGAAACTGTCTTTAAGTACGGACGGAGAAGCTGCAGCTGCCACGCGAACCCCGCAGAAAACCTAATATTTACCCGATGGTGAATAGTGGATAGGAATAAGCACAGTGCATAGCACTCTAACACCTGAGAACATTCCCGTTGCATTCGAAATAGGAATGTTTGCATGCGTCATATCAAGCGTTGTTTAAGTAACATTAACCAAAGAAGCAAGTCGTTATAAAGGAGAAAAATATAGTTAGAATGAGTCCATTTGCATTTGTCACTTCTGATTTGTTTAAATCGTGTATAGCACTCAAAAACTTGACTTTTGGTTAAACTATTTAAAATATAAAATTCCTTCATCGATTAAATTTAACAGATTACGGTACTGACTAAAGGAGCAAAATGTGCATACTTCAAAACTCCCATATCCATGCAGCTTGGAATTTTAAATAGTTAATCAGACGGCCAGTAAAAACTATCTTATATAAACCCGGCTTCAAAATCTTTGAAATTTCTACATATGACACTTCTTGCAACGGTATTTCCGGGAACAAAAAATTTGCTTATAATTTATAATCAATTCGAAATTAATAAATATAGTGCTTGTCGTCAAAACAAGTCTCCTCATGCATGCTTGTCGTACAAATCGCTCCAACAAATGTCGTCAGCAACACTCATGAAGTTCTTTGCTAAATAAGTTTACCCTTTCCTCTAAGATAACCCTGTACGTGGTGGTGTTCCTGGTTGCTGTAACGGGTAACCTGCTCGTCATCCTGGTCGTCCACTACAACGCTAACTTGTGGAGCTCAACCAACCGATACCTGGTGAACCTGGCGGTGGCTGACCTGCTGGTTGCCCTGTGCTGCATCTGGGTCCATCTGGTGCGACACCTCGCGTCCCCGCACTACGTCCTGCCTGCCTTCGTCTGCAGGCTCGACAGCTTTCTGCAGGGTGAGAATTGCAGAGAAAATCTGCGTATTTAATCAACAGACGAACGCAGGCTCATCTGCTTCCAGCAAGGTGAGCAAAAAAATTTAAATCTGCGTTAAAATTAGCAGATGAACGCAGGCTCGATAGCTTCCTGAAAAGATAGAATTGGAATGTTACTCTTTATCAACAGATTTGCGCAAGCTCGACAGTTTCCTGAAAGGTGGGCATAAGAATGTAACTCTGCGCATTTAAGAAACAGACAAACTTAGAACCGGAAATTTCCGGTGCATGTGAAAACTGTTTTGATTAGATTTTATAAATTTAATTTTTAAATCTTCATCGTACTGACAGCAGGGTGAATAAGTTATATGTATGTATATTTTTTAACCCTACTCTACCAACACTTCTCGCCGTTCATTTGACGCAACTGTTTACAACTGTTTTACCTACCTTCACGAAACGTCTAGGGCAAGCAATATATTAAATTTGAGCCACAAATTGCCCCATGAACGTATTCTTAATTGCATCAATCATCCTGCTTTACTACGTGTTTCCCCTCTTGACAGAGATCAGGGTAGACGGTGCTTCACACACCGCGAATCTTTAAACTATCCATAAAAATAATACCACTTGTTTTCTGAACCTCTGAACACCAATTCTACAGCGACGACGCTCTCAGCCAGTGTGCTGACCCTGACAGCAATCAGCGTGGGGAGGTTCGTGGCGGTTATGTTCCCTCTACGCGCGCATACCTCGCCAGACCGCGCCTACAGGGTCATCCTGCTCATATGGCTGGCGTCTGCTCTGCTGGCCTCTCCCCTTCTGCTGTACAGGCAGCTCTACAGCATAGAGGTGAGGCATCCTGCTCATATGGCTGGCGTCTGCTCTGCTGGCCTCACCCCTTCTGCTGTACAGGCAGCTCTACAGCATAGAGGTGAGCATCACTATTATGCATGACATCATTGGCAACTTTACATCATTGAGGTGAGCGAAAAATCACTATTGAGATGCGCAGCCAAATCTGCAGCAAAGAGCTGTAAACTTGGAAATGTGATATTATTGTTTAATCTGCTATCTCTGTAATATTTGACTAGTTCACTTGTTTGCGTTGCAGTGGAAAGACTTCAGGCTGTGGCAATGCGACGAGTTTTGGCCTATGGAAGGTCATTACGACAAGCACTTGAACAAGTGCGTAGTCACGTCCGATCCAAAGAAGCTCTTCTACACTTTCTTCATCATTGCTATTTACTTCATGCCTGTCACAATCATGGTGGCAAGCTATAGGTAAGCGATTTATGTTATAGCAATTTATGTTTTCATTTGAATATATAGATGGTGGCCATAAATAGTTGACCCAAATAATATTGGGTTGATTTGATAATTGTAACAGGAGAAGACAGCGTAGTGGCGCTATAGGAACACAATCCAGATTTGTTTGAGTCTAACTGGACGTTTTCATTGAATTGCATTTCAAAATTTGCAAAATTCAGTCATTATTTTATCCGCTCTTCCTTAACATTTGTTACTGTTTATTATTATTCAGGAAACAAAATGTCACTAGAGAATCGATTCCCTTTTCGGAAATATATTTCCTAAACAAGCTTTTTTCAGTATGAATAAAATGTTCGATTTTACCTAATGTTGTTTTGCGAATTACAAGGCGAATGAAGGATAGCTATCTATTTCTCTTATAACTCTTTTCACTGCGTCACTACGGGAAACACTGAAGCTTTGTACGTCGATATTTTAGGAGCTGACTCCAGGTGTTTGACAAAGTACTAAATGATTACACCGGTTTTTCGAAAGTATAAGTTTTACCCTGTCAGGAGGTTTCAAAACAACCAATTTCCGAATGAAATTTTCCAAAGCACCTAAAATTAAGTAAACTATTCAAAAAAACTGCAGAGCCAGGAAATGTTCTTACACCGAATGAAGAAGCATTTGCGCTAACTAGCGGCAGGTGAAAGAAACAAATTAAGCTGTATGTAAATTTATTTGAAATATTGCATCAGTTGTTCGGTCTTCTGAATTTCCGTCGACTTCTGAGACACTAATTCACTAAAATCTTGCGTCAACTTCCGATTACGTTAAAGTCAACATCAGAGGTTTCACATTATTAATGATAATTATACAGGCCATATATTGGGAACCCTTGAATGATCACCAAATTCTTTAAGTATTTCTAAGATCTATCGTGTAAAATAAGTTGCTCTTGTGTAATTTGCAGCCTGGTAGTGTGGCGGCTGTGGGCGTCTAAGCTCCCAGGAGAGCAGTGCGCCGAGTCACGTCTCACCGTCAGCAGGAGCAAGAAGAAGGTCGTGAAGATGGTGACGGTGGTGGTGGTCGTCTTCGTGGTCTGCTGGACACCGTTGCAGTCGCTCATCCTCTACACTAACTTCAAAAGAGATGATGTTCATGTGAGAAAACCAGTTCAGTAGGCAAAACACTAGTAAAATTACAAGGCTACTATTTTCATACTGAATAACAAATCGAACAGATTGCTACCTGAAAGTACGTGCGTCATTAATTAATTTATCCGTATTGAACTCATTTAAAGGATTAGTATGTTAATACCCCCATAGTTTTTAGCGAATAACTGTATGCTTTGATTTGAAATATTTTTCCACTGAAATCCCCTTAATTGAATGTCTAGTGCAGCAGCTATGAAGGTTGTTCGTGGTGCGCAGTTAACTTCATCAATTATAATCAATTATCATCACTATTGTTATTTACTTTAGATTTTACACAAGATCTTACAAATTTTTCATCGTAAATTTTACTCATTTTTAAATGCTCAGTTTTTATACCGAAAATCTTCGGATTGTAACAATTAGTACAGGTGAGGTGGGAGCAAATGAGGTGAACAAAAGATACAAAAAATTTTCGAATGAAAACTCAAAGCCTTCACTCTCTTCGTCACTATGATCTCAGAACCAACAATAATTCAATATTATGACAAGATCTAGTACATAAATATAGGTAATTGAAAAGTAATTAAGGACAAGGAAGAACAGTGTAATGCAAAGCATCTTATATTACCAACGACATATTTGTTTCCCATTGCACAACATAAGCTTTTCTTTTATTTTAAGTAAGAATTACTTGCTCACATGTTGTGGTAGCTGCCCGAGTGGTTCGAGACGGTGGAGTACATATCGTACTTCATCGCGCACGCCAACAGCGCCATCAATCCCATCATCTACTGCAGCTTCAACAGCAGCCTCAGGCAGGGCCTGCTAGCTCTCCTTACCTGCAGCCACAGCCGACGAAGTTCTTTCCATCAGCGACGTGAGTTCTACGAATTAAAATACAGATATTTTATTTATAGTTCATTGATATAATTTATATTTTTATTATTTTGGATTCGGTAGTATTGTCATTTCTGTATGTTTCAGTGAAGCTCGTAAATCCTTTAATAAGGTAAATATCTGATTAATTCAAAGTAAATTAAATAGGACTTCAATCCCGTTCAGCATATATTTTTTTGAATGCGAAAATTAATGCAGTATAAGTCCAAGAGTCTTTACCGATACATTATTTCCATTAATCATTAATTAATGTCTCTTTTTAGAGACATCAATCATGCTGTTGTAATATAGCTCCCATTATCTTTATAAAAATTACTTAACAACACGACTCATATTCTTCATTCAAAAATATGAAGAACAATTTCTCTAGGAATAATTATCGTCATATATACGATAAATAAATATGTTAGATACAATTGAGAAAGGACTAGTGTCCAAGCCAATGTCCAAGTGCATTTGAACGTCGCAAATATAGCTCTTTAGATCTACACGCGCAGTGATGGGAGTAACCTTGAAGTGAATCCTGCAACATTGTTAGCTCGATAAAGCCAAGACGTGGGACGAATAGCATTCACGTGAAGCGGGCTTGCGTAATTAACTTACTTAATAGGAACCATCTTACTTAATAGGAAACCTGGCCCGATTTCGCAGGAACGAACTGGAGGTGCACGACGGCCGGCACGCGAGAGACCACATTTGGGGCCTCCGGCGCCGAGCCTGGAGTTCTGAGTCATGGCAACCCTTCCATGAAGAGAGCCAATGCTAGGTAAGAGTGACCCATAACACTCAAGTCGATGCAGGTATCTGATTCATAAAACCTAATTCAGGAGTGAAACTTATCGTGAATATTTACGAGAGTATGCAGGCAGCCAATTTTGTTGCCATATTTACAGAGGTCGTCGATAACTCGGTGTTCGTATGGATGACAAAATAAGAATTTCCATGCACCATCTGCCTTTGATGCACGAACAAATATTGGATTTTTTTCAAATTAGTAAGTTAGAACTAGACTGAGTCACCCAATGTAATTAATTATAATCAATGATAGAATAGAAGAGAAAATATAAAAATCTATAGCAAAAGTTCACTTTCGCCATCATCTTTTCGATGGAAATAAAAAATTCTAGGTCCATTCTTAACTTTAAACGATGAAAATATATTAAATTTGCAGCACAACCATTAATTTCACGTCATGACAGGCATGACATAAAAGTTATGAAATGCAATACAACAAGAAGTTTCTCGAATTCAGAAATCAGAAATTGCAGTGGAAATTATAGAAAATTATTCAATAACATTTTTGATTAATTTTTTTACCTACAAGTGCGACTTAATTGACAACTTCATGGAAAAATTCAATAATATTGAAAATTTTCTTGTAAGCTTCTAAAACGTTTTGAAGTTTAATTTTTGTTACACTTATAAAATTTGAATACTCTGCTATACTTATCTCTTTAAATTTTGCGGTAATTGAAGATAACTATTTTTTCCAGCATTTTTGTCAGCTTTTTACAGACGTCAAGTTAAAATGAGTTAAATTTACATTAGCGCCATATAACATATGCAAAAAATATATTATTTCTAAACAAAAACTGCCAATCAAGTAGATAAAAATTTAATTTATTTCTTTTCATTCATTGGCGTCACAATCTTGACGTGAATTCTCGTATTTAGGTCTTCATCAATGACCAATTTTAACATATTAAAATATTTTACTGCTTGCCAACAAGAATCAAATTCATAAATTTTGAATGTTTAAACTCGTAAAATCATTTATTTAGCCAAGCGTTCAAAATTTTCCCTCCATTGGTATCAGTAATGTTACTCGTGGTTGGCCTTGATAGAGAAAATTCTTTTTGTCAATTGCAATTCTAAAATAAATTCCTTCAGAAATCAGGAATTTTCCTATTGTTCATTTCGGAAAACCAGAAAAAGACCGAAGTGCGTAAAGCTTATTCTTGCCTCGCAGCACATAACAACAGTATTGGCAAGGCAATTTCTGAGCCCCTTTCAGGCATCGATCCCCTACGTAATCACGACGTAAGCCGAAGAAATGAGGCACCTTGTGTCGTAATGAGGCGTTTGGCATTAGAACTCCCCATAGTTAGTACCTCATCTCAACCTGGGCAGCGGTGCTTGCTCAAAAATAGCGTCATCAACGAGGATCATTGCACGCTGCTATGGCCCGACTTCCTGGTCGAAAATTTTCCCTTTTGTTTACGCCTCAGCCGTTTTATAGCCAGAAATTTAAAAATATTCTCAATTTGCATTTCAAGTAATGTAAGTGTTGAAAGTCAGCATGCGTGAATTTATTCAGGATTGCAAATTTCATGCCAATACGACTTTGAGATTTTACTCTTCTCATGAAAGAATTAATGGCCTACATTGCATTATTTACACACTAAATCATTTTAAGAACGAAAGACTGCCACGGCTTTCGTATTATTAACTGAAAAATCGTTGAAAAGCGCACTTGATACCAGGGTGTTGCGGTCTGGCAAAACCACCGGATCGCTACGCTCGACTGCAGCCCACAACACATCAGGCGGTCAACCGGTGACGCTCATCACCAAAGTAAGTCCGAGTTTAGTAGCGAAATTCTAGCTCATATACCAGGAAATTTCTTGCACGGAATAATTTTTAAATTTTCCTCTACTTTTATACCAATACATTTTCAATCATCTTTACCTTTTCATTTCAGATTCATATGAACAATATATATTAAAGAGAAATGTTCAGAAAATGATTCACATGATATTCAGAAAACGATCGATTTATCGCATAATTTGCTTACAAATATTTTCACTTGTTTACACTAAATTCTACTGTCCGATTCCCTATTGAGGTTAAGGGATCTCGGTTAAAATTTATGATAAGAATGCTGAATAATCTTATGTCTAAATTAATGTTTTATTTAGTCGCACGAATCTATGTCGCAGTAGCTTTCTCAATCAGCCGAACTTGACAAATAACTTTGTAGCATTAAATTATTCATCTCTGAATATTAATTATATACAGTATATCGTATTTTACCCCTAATAAGCCAATTTTCAAACAATTTATAACATCAGTATCTCGAAAGCCTAATTTTCCTGAATAATTACTACAAGTTTCCTTGAAGACCAGAGAGTATTTCTTATTGACAATTTTCTCGCTCATTATCTCAATGCGGCGAATTTGGCTTTTGGTAGGATTTGAAAGATCAAATATGAGATTTTAAAGGGACATTTCATTATAATTCATTATTACCTGTTTGATAATGATTGTTGCTTATTCGAAATATCGTAAAATCATAATTATATTATGAAATATAATAAAACGTGCATTCATGAACAACTTCTGCCAGGCTGCACAAATATTTTTACTGAATCTTGCACCAGTTTCTAGAGCTTCTGTAATTCCCACTTTCAGTTACAAAAAAAAACTAGAAAAATAAAAAAATCTATACACGTTGATTTTTACTTTTTTTTATTATGGAAACCTACTCTTTGGACTTATTTTCCATGCGTTCTACTATTACTGTACTGATTGTGTTCATTTATGTCGTGTAAGGTTGGCCGCATGCCGAATGAAGTGTCAGTAGCAGAGTCTCCCCGCCACCGCAAGAAGAAGCTGGAGCGCAACTCGAGCGGCTTCTCCGTATCTTCCAGCACCTCCAGTGCAGGCGACTGCAGCTGCTGCCACATCTGCAACAAACGAAGGCTATCTCGTGCCTATGATCCAAACCGACATTCCAGAGAAATTGCTTCTGATATTGCCAACGTGCAGTTGGAAAGCTTCAATATTGCTAACATAGCGTTGAAAAAAGAAAATATCAATGAGATCGTCAAGCTTGCTTGTCGAACAGAAGTCGAAAATGAGCATTGCCAAAGTTTAATAGTTGAATCTGCCAAATCGGAAACCATTCCCTGCCTAAGTTATGAAATACTGACCAGAAGTGATATGAAATTGCTTACAAACAAATCCAAGAACAGTTCGGTTTCTTGCAGCTCCCTAAACGCCATTAAAATGTAATTGATTTGCTTATCGCTGCTTGTTATGCGATGCAAATTATATTTATTTTTTATCAAACGAATTATCTATTTTCATCGTTGCAGTACGTAATGAGGAATTCTCAATACCGATGTTATACATATTTATCGTAGAGCTCCTAACACAGTGTTCGATAGCAACGCAAGGCACGAAGAAAATAAAGGAACTGTACAAGAAATTTTTCGACAAATCAAGAATATGGCACCGAATTTTCAGTTACACGACAATTTTTCATGTAACTTGATAATTCGTTCTCTGTGTGTTCATGATATTATAAACATAAAAATATTCCCAAGTCTGTGTAAAATTTCACATAATTGTACATAGATTAGCCTAACCATTGTACAAAAAACATTTACCATTTATCAATTCATGTTTCCTTCTATATTTCGTAAACTTATATAGATTTTATTTGAAAAGAAGGCTGCATTTATGAATTAATTTACTTTCATATGATCAGTTCTAGAGTGAAAGTATACAAACATTTTTACTAAATAAATAATTAAATTCATATCAAAAATTAATGAATTTTTCGTGGTTTATAACATTCATAATTTTGACTGAAATATTACTCGACCCCAGAAAAAATTCATCCCTCATCGCGTAAGCTTCCAGTTTTGTATACCGCGTGATATTGTACCATATGATTAACATATGGAGTGCTGTTCTCCTAATAACCGTACAATTAAGTTTCTAATATTCTCAATTTTATTGTAAAATTCTTTATTTCATTATTCAGTTATTTTTTGACTTGATGAGCTTAAAATATGTATTAGTCGATGTTGAAATGCTACGTTTCAAATAATTGTTAAATGTTCAGTTTAATCACTGAGTATATGTCATCGTCTGATTAAATTTTGAACCTTGATCTGTATCGCATTCTTTGAAACCTCTTAACAATTAAAATATGTAACATGACTACCGTAATATGGCACTCTATCCCATACACATTTTTATTTTTTCTGGACCGAGAAAAGTAACTTTTTCGCGAATCATGAGCGAAAGTGGATTATTCCTAAATTTTATGCAACCTGAAAGCAGCACACATCTCACACATCAATTTGCAAATCTTAATTTGCAGTAAAGTTGTTTCTTTTGCAGTCGTTTTCTGGAAACAGTCCAACTTTTCATTGAGCTGAAATTATACATTTTTCTATAGAAGTACTGCTACACACGGTGACATCATCTCAAACATGGGATTCATAAATACTTTTATCTCTACTCGACTTCCAACAGGTGGGTGATTTGACTCCTCTCTTTCCACTGACCTGCTAACAATATATTTCACTGAGTTATGGATTTAATGATGAGTTTTGAAATATATTAAAACGAACCATGCATAATAAAATTGCTCAAAATTTATAAAATAAAGTAAAGTTTAGCTCTCTCAATAAAAATAAAGTTTTTTTTCTTTCATTCATATATATGTTTATTCCTCAAAAAATGAAAGTGTGCTCCATTTAAAGTCGCTAAAAAAATTAAGCCGTATCAGTAGTGCAGGCTAGCAAATGCAATAGTGTCTGGCGATGAGCCTGCATGCACTAATTTTTAATTAATAAGCAAACTTAAGATTTAAGCTATACCTTGGCATACTTCGCATGTTCAGCACTTTGAAGAATAAACAAGAGAATTATTAATAAATTCTATTCTCTCGCCTCTAAAAGGATTTTTAATTGTAAACATCAAGTAGATTAATAATAACTCGATTAAGTGCATGAACAATAATTCGAATCTTTCAAGCAGTTCTTTCTAGGTTTATGCATGTTATGAGAGCGCAGTAGTTACTGTTGAACTATACAGAATTTAACATGCACTCAGCAATGGGCCACTTAAGACGAAATAGCATATGCCGCATAGGTTGTATTCTTCATTGGTTTTGACGTCGAGGTAATGATAGTTGTTCAAACTACTGAGCATAATCGCAAACCGCAACATTAGGACGTGATTAGGACTCGATCAACAAAACTGTTTTCCGCCGAAACATCGACCGCAAATTAGCACATATTATTGCTGAAGATAAAACGAAGAATGAGCAATTTTCTCGAAACGATATTGGCTTCGTTAAGGTAAAAAGTGGTTCAGAAAATAGGAAAAATTTCATATCTTCATCAAAATATTGCATTGGAAGAATTCACTAAACACTCAGCGCACGGGCGTTAGTTAGTTGTGATGCTAGCATTCGGGTCACTCCGATGGCAGTCATAAAATACGCGCAAGTGTTGAGTTGATCCCAAACAAAAAGCACACCTGCCGACCTGTACACCTGACGTTAAGCAAAACTCATCACATTGTTGATGCTTCGTTGAAAATTTGATAAACCAGATGAATGCATCGTAAAGACGACCTTAAATGACGTTTACCAGCGACTCAGAAACAACCTTCGAGTGTTCCAACTATCGGTAAGAAAAAAAAGTAGCCAGTCTACAAAAATTTCGATGCTGTATTGCTGAATGAGCGAATGAACTCACCGTCCACTTCACTTCAAATTTGTGACTGAAATATTGATAGTTCGTTTTTTTATGACGGCCGAATTCAAGCGTTATAATCTCGACTCATCGCATAAACGCGAATTAATTATTCATTAAATTCATCTCATTCTCTGTTAAGGCACTTCGGCAGGTTGAAAGGGGTTAAAGCTATAGGGGTTTAAAATCATATTGTTTACGATGGTCGTCCATGAACTATAATTCAATTGAAGACAAACTGTCGAAAAAATATTGCCATTAAAATCTGTGGTGAAGGTACAGGGAATACATTCAGAAAGACTCGTCGGTGTCAGTACTTTACAGTACTTGGGCAATAACAGCCGTTGATTGCTAGAGTTAGTTTGAGAAACTGCATGAAATGAAAATTATTGATTAGGTCAAGTGTGTATGTAGACAAAATGCTTCCTGCTGATAAATTGCAACAAGAAATACCAAACTAAAATTAATCTAAACTCTATTGACTATCGTAGTGAAACACAGAAATTTGGAAAAATACAAATTATTTAATTTGAAATCAATAAAATAATTGAATCCTTCCGGGAAAAAATAAAGTCTTGAAATATTATAAAATTTGTTCGACACACCGAGAAAACTTTATCAAGTTAGACATATTTTGACCAGTGAGCATAGACCGTCTTTTTTTATCTTATATAACTCATGATTTGAAAATTATTAATTAGTTTCAAATATCAAAAATGATTTGAAAATGATAAAAAGTTAAATCTCCTTTCGATCATACGTAAGTGGAACAAATGATCGCGTGACGTTAAACATGTTTAATTAGATTCGAACATGTGTTACATCGAGTAGTGAAAAGTGCATTGCATGAATGACTTATATTTCAATTTTATTATCACCAGACACATCAAGCAGTAATGCTACTTGAAGCGATTTCTAATTTAAAGCGTCATGCGTTAGCTGCAGGACAATAGCCACTTGTTTCTTTGATCGGAACAGCTGTCCAATTGATTTATACAGCCTTGACCACGATAAATGAATGCTAATTACCACCCACGTATCACTAATACTTATTTTCAATGAGGCCTGGCAGAAACATTGTCAATACTTAATCAATAATTAGTTGCACAAACTCAAAGCACTTGCGACGTTCATTACGGTAGCCATCAACAGTATTCTGGCACATTTGCGTCTGAAACAGTGCCGCGAACATAGCCGGTGTACAGCAACGCTGAAACGTTACATACCAAAGACACTTATGTCACAAAAAATATAAGCTGCTTTATGTACGGCAAAACTTTTCCCTTCGGTCGTTCGCTCAAATTCACATAAAAAATCTATCTTAAACCCACAATGAAAAATTATAGTATATATTTTACGTGTGGATCAGCAAGTTAAACATGATTTATCCGGCATCGGAAATAGCTGCAAATAGTCCCGATTCCAAAATTTGCCACAAAAAATTTAGCAACAAAGCTTTCAAAGCTCTTGTTTCATCTCGAGGGTACGGCACAAACGATGATGAAAACAAGCTCTATAAGGGTTCTTCGTGGCAGCAAAGTCTGCTTGATGGAAAATGGAGTTGGGTGGCCCTCATGATGGCTTTTTACATTCAAGTAAGTAATTTGACTGCCTCCGCTTCTATTTATGCCAGAAAACTTAAATTAAATATTATTGTTGAGTAAAAAAATCATTCATATGTGCCTTACCGTGTGCAGAAGACCCCATCCTTGTTGGCTAAAGCAAAGATGTTTTATATTTCTGGCAACTCTGATTTTCATTCAGCTTGCTCTGGAAATGAAAGTCCTTGGTATTTATTTGGCTCGACAGCAAAAAATCTATACACATAAAAACTCTTCCGATTATTAATGAGTGCTAATTAATAATTTACGGGCTATGTTGTGACTATTTCTCATTTCAAAAGATTAAAGATTTACGTCCCTTTTGTCTTAGTTTTTTTCTAGATGAAATATAAGGAAAAATGCTAACAGTTCAACACTCCACTATCAACATTTTTATAAAAACCTTCAATGCAAATACTAATGAATGATGTGCGTTGGGAAGAAATCAGCTGCTTGAATCTGATTTTTCTGGTATCTGATAGGGCCGCAAAGAGCCTGGATTACAAAATTTACAACAAAAAAAAAATACTAAGGAACAACTCTACGCAAGCACTTTTTTCGATGAGCTGAGTCTCGCTTCATCAGTTTTATCGAAATCATAATTTAATCTTTGTCGATGTTCATACCCACGACTGAACTAATACAATTTTCAAGATGACATCATCTAATCGTTCAATGGAAGCTGCTTCAATTGCTTGCTTTTTTACATAGATTAATTAACAAACTTATTGGGTTGATTATTTTCCAGTTGTACTGCAGCCTACTTAAATTTCTACATTACACTGATAAATGACAATTGAAATTTATGTACGTTAATTTTTAAAATTAGTATAGGTTGGCAGAATTTTTTCTTTCAAGCAGGTTTCATTGAAGACCAGAGAATTTGTTTTATTCGCAATTTTCTTATTAGTTTTTTCAATATATCGAACAATATTTTTAGTTTGAACTGGCAAATCGAAAATCAGGTTACCGATGGACATTTTTATTTCGTTAACGACGTTTCGAATGTTTCTATCAAGATAATGAATGATAGAAACATTCGAAACGTCGTTAACGAAATAAAAATGTCCATCGGTAACCTGATTTTCGATTTGCCAGTTCAAACTAAAAATATTGTTCAATATATTGAAAAAACTAATAAGAAAATTGCGAATAAAACAAATTCTCTGGTCTTCAATGAAACCTGCTTGAAAGTTAATTTTTAAATAGCCATGCAAAGACTAAAATTAAAAATTCTGTAGGTAAAATGAACAGCTCGAAATTAAAGAACTGTAGCTCACAATTGAAGAGGTCGATGAAATTACTCAATTGAGCCAACTTGAAGAAGTTGAATATCATGATAATTTGTAATTAAGTTGAATCTTCCGCCGAACTACATGATATACTTATATTTTCACGTACAATTTACAGGTCATTGTTGGCTTTTTGTCTTCATGCTTCGGCGTATTCTTCAGCGAAAAAATGGCTTCGTTCTCCGCATCATCATCACTGAGCAGCGGCATTTTCACGTTGCACATTTTCTTCTTCGACCTTGGCTCGCTAATTTGCCCGGACATCGCCTCCAAGCTCGGCCACAGAAGCACGACCTTCGCCGCTCTCGTCACGGCCTTCTTCTCCTTCGTCCTGCTGGCGCTCTGTGACGGCCTGGGAGTCATCTTCGTTTCGTACGGCATAGTACTTGGTGAGACTTCTCACTTCAAAGTCTCTGCAGGTTCGAGAATGTTTAGCTTTTCAATTCATTTCATCACCCATGCTCAAATAGGTTGAAATATGATAGCGTATATTGCAAGATCTATTATCATATCCTGAAGAACTTTTCAATGCCTGACAGATATGTGGAATAGTTACACATCCGACTGACACATCAGTTCACTAACACCTAATATGCCTAATCTTTCTTTGGCTCCCCATTAGCGCTGAGTGGAGGCTTTCTGTACAACGTTACCCTGCTGATAGTGCCGATGTACTTTGAGAAGTACAGAAGACCTGCACTTTCCTGCATTACAGTTGCCATGTGTGCCTCGGGTGCGATCTCCCCGCACCTCGTGCGATACCTCATAGACTTTTACGGCTACTCGGGAGGCTTGCTGCTCTACGGTGCCTGCTTCCTGCAGGCCTGCGTGCTCGTCGTCCTAGTGAGGCCAGCACGAATACGTCCTGAAAAAGTTCCTGATGACATCAATTACAAACACCAGAGTTTGGAAGAAATCACTCCTAAGGCTGAGAATTGTCTTTCATTGATATGGAACTGTTCTTTTAATTTCTATTCAACATTCAAAGTTTGGCTGACAGCTAAATTAGAAACCTTGAAAAACGAAAACGTTCTTATGATGGCATTAGCTCGTGGCCTCTTCCTAACAAGTTGCAGCAATTTCTATTCGTTTTTGCCTTTTATTCTGCAACGTAATGGGTTCTCGCCCCAGTTTTCAGCTCAATGCTTAGGGAACAGTGCCATGATGGGCACATTAGTTCGCATTGTAGTCACCCTGACAGTGAACCATCAACGCTTCCCAAGAAAAGCTGCGTTATGCGTTGCCTCAATAATCGCTGGGGTCTTAGACATAGGTAAGTGTTTCAATAAATGAAATGTTTAAAACTGCTGAAATACTTGCCAATTAAAAATGCTTAAACTCAATCGAGTCGAGTCGACGATAATATAAAAAATTCAAAATTTGCTGAAAGTTTAGTACGAGTATTACAACTTTGATCGTGTACACAGCACGATCGCGTCTAACCTAGCCTAAAGGCTTCGAGTGCACACAGCGTGGGCGAGATGATATCAGGACTTCTTTGAATGAATAAGATGTTTGTTGCATTTTTGGCTACAATTAGTGTAGTAAAATCTGTCATTGGAGTGCAAAACAATTTTTCTGACACAGGGTTCATTTTCTCTCACGGGGACGAGCACGTATTGACAGCCCTCAGCGTCGTGCACGGTTTGGGGGTCGGCATGTTCTCTAGCATTTTCTATGCCATCCTTATTGACATCGTCGGACTGGAACTTTATCCTCAATGCCTTGCTGTCTTAGCAATTGTCCTGCTCGTGACAGACACTTCAATGTCTCCAATTTTAGGTAAGTAAACCAACAATTGTCTAGCTCAAATGCGGGAATAACAAATATTATTTACACGAAAATTATGTTAATTTTAAGAAAATTACTCTAATAGTAACAGTAAATTGAAGCTGGTATTGCAAATTAATTGCAGAACGAATCATTTTTAAATCATTATTCAAGCCTCACTACCAACTACCAGTTGTACTAGATCACATCACAGGTTTCGCCACATTCGAATCCTTTGTCAGGGTTGCATGAGGGTTTCGACACATCCGTCAGCCAGAGCTTAGATATCTATTATGATATATGTATGTATATCTGAATAAACTTATTGTCAGTTCAATGATAGAACTGGAACTTTGTTGCGATGAATTTATCTGAGTAAATTTAGTGTAATTTTACAGTAAATTTATAAATATATCCTCCTCCAAAAGCATTCACCGATTGTTGATTATAGTGATGTTTAGTAACCTGTTTCACTGTAAATCTTCGGCATTCTATTTTCAACTTGCAGGTGTGATCCGGGACTTCAGCGGCTCCTATTCGGCGGTTCTAAGTACCTGCGCTGCGCTGAAATTCTCTGCCGCAATTTTACTAGTCATCCTCTTCGTCAGAATGAAGAAATCGCTCAACTCTAATAACTGATTTGGGATACCTAATTAATATAAGTAGCAAAATGATCAACTTACTGTTGATCAACTTACTGTTGGCACTGCTTGCTAAGCATTGAGCTGAAAACTGGAGCGAGAACCCCTTACTTTGCAAAATAAAAGGCAAAAATTAATAAAAACAGCTGCAACTTGTTTGGAAGAGGCCACGAGCTAATACTATCATAAGAACGTTTTCGTTTTTCATGGCTTTTAATTTATCTCTCAGCCAAACTTTGAGTTATGAATATAAATTGAAAGAACAGTTCCATATCAATGAAGGGCAATTCTCAGCCTTCGGAGTGATTTCTTCCAAACTCTGGTGTTTGTAATTGAAGTCATCTGGAACTTTTTCATGACGTATACGTGCTGGCCTCACTAGGGCGACGGAGCACGCAGGCCTGCAGGAAGCAGGCGCCGTAGGGTACGCACACAGTGAAAGCAGGTTGCCAGCGTGCTGGTTACCTGCTCAGGCTGGCGCCTGAAACCATAGAATACAGAAGCCTATTCGTACAGGTTTTCACTGTGAGCACTTACATTATTATCCTATGTTCATTCTTGTGGCAGGTTGGAGCAGGTTGCCCGCGCGGGCAAACCTGCTTATCTTCTCTGTGTGTTGTAACAGCCTCTCTATCATATAAATAAAAACGTCCTAAATTCTCAAATGGATTTTAAATTCATCTCTTTCGCTCACACACTAAATCTTCAATACAGTTCTCCCACATTGAATTTCTCATAATGTTAAGACATCTCTTTTTTGGTAGTTAAATAGTGTTAAAAATGTGCAAACAACCACATCCGTTCCATGTGACGAATCTTACGAAGGCAATTGCACCAAGTAGCCCATGAGATCATATTCATACTTCCAGTACTTCTACTTAAATTTCAAATATTATGAATATTGATATGTATACATTTAATTGAACTGTCAACTCACTGTATTCCAGGTTATTTAATTAATTTCAATACGAAAAAAAAAACATTTACGGTTTTTTTCGCATTTTCTAGCATATCGCTCCGTAGCCTAGCCACCGTCATTGGAAGTTTCGAAAGTACGGCTGGTCAATGAGTTGGTATAGGTGAAGAACTCGGTTTTGTGTTCGTGATTTTCAAGCGAAAATGTCCGTAATGATTAAAATCTACATGCTTTAAGAATATCGGCTTCGATGAAAAACGCACACTTTCCTCCTGTTGTCGTTATTCGAAACCTGAAATATCGTTCATGAATTTCTAATTGAATTGAATTTCAACTTCTATCTAAGGCAGAAGAGGCGATGATTAAAATGTCGTTTTAAACACATTATAGCAAGTAGCACGTTGCACGAAAGAATTTGTAATACGTATGCATCCTAAAATTGTCAAGTTCAATGGAAAGTTCGGAAATTTATCCTCTAATAATTTGTAATTCTTCGAAAATCAGCCAATGCATAATACTTTGATTTAGCCCTGGTACCAAACCCAATGATAAAACGAAAAACAAGCTTATAATTACAGAGAACGAGCTACTTAATTACTTACGGAGTTGAGCTACGATTTGTAACCTTAATTGTTTGTAAGCGTTTCTCTTGCAGCGTCTCGGTGACTGCTTGACTGGCGAAGACTGAACCCAACCAAGCAGTCGAACTCTTGAGTGAACTGGAATTTCCACACAATGGATCCAGCTTTCTCGATGAATTAAAAATTAGAACCTGAAATATATGGACACGAGCAGCTAAAATAGCATGATCATGTCAGCATATACCTCAAGTTAAAAATTTCCATTGCTGCCATCTTCCAAAATCTTTGAAGTACAACTGAGTTGTCTAGATTCTAGAATACCGGCAATCCTGGCATCAAGCCGACTATATATACGCGTAGTGCCGGTATCGGTGTCGTCACTGTCGTGTTTTTCAGTGAACTCCACTTTAAGAACCAATGTACATGAAAACTAAGAAATTTTTAGTTTCTAATGTTTAGCCTTTAAAATCAATTATTTTCAAGTCTAATACTTCAACAGTTCACGTTACCCACTACGATTACAGGATTGAATTAAGCAACGTTCGCCGTTCAACGTGTGATCATCACTAGTATCACTAGCGAACTGCCGCCGGCGCTGGGGCTGGGCGCAGGGAAGGCAAACGAATGTGTAGGCTCACTCACTCAAGCTGCATCACGTTAAGCAGAAATAATATTCCAACATTTTACAAGACTAGCGACAAATTTTGCCCTGCGAACATGATAAAGTAACTATGAGGAACAATAACCGTAAAGAATTGACCAAATTTTGTCATCGATGTTGTTTGAACAAATTATTAAACTATTTTTTAATTCGTTCAAAAAGTAGTCTGGTGCCTGAGCAGAGTTATGTACATTATGTATGACACTCAGGCCAAGTAACGCCCTGTAACCGCCATTGAATAAAACGATCATAATTCAATGAAGGAATTATATGAACCGCACCACAACATGATACAATTGTGAACCTCATCTGAAAATATTGAAAATTTGTAGACCTTGTTTGGATAACTGAAGGAACACTATTCAATGCCTTTTATCAGGTAATGCACTGTCATCACAATATCAAGCAGTTTCATCCCAAATCATGGCGACCTGAACATTAAATAAAATACTTGTAGGCCCTGAATGCAAAACCGAAAGTTCATCTGTTGCTTTTTCTGCCAATTAATAGCTTACTTATTAGTTATGTAAGTTATGATATGGATTTGAAGATTAGTATCTCTTGGAGCTGAAAGCATTAATTTTTTTGCTGCCACGTAAATATCAAGTATTTTTCTTCTCTTGCACCCCTAAATCATGTTTCCATGCCTTCAAGCAGCCTGTGGTTTTTAGATATAGCAAAATAAATTAAGATATTTTTGCCCTATAATTAATGAAATTACTATCTACCTACTGCAAGAAATTTCAATTTCCTACACGATAGGTCAAGTAAAGATTATATTTAAGATACACGAAGTTTATTCAAGCTTTCTTTTTAGTTTCCGTTCTTCATTAATCTTCGTTAGTAACGAGGTAGTCCAGGTGCGAGATTAAGTTTTGGTAGGAATGGAACAGGAGGCGAAACCCACGTCTTCGTACAAGTAACTTCTCGCGTCAAGAAGAACGAATCGACTGGACCGGCTGCAGACGCAGAATTTCAATTTCCTACACGATAGGTCAAGTAAAGATTATAATAAAGATACGCAAAGTTTATTCAAGCTTTCTTTTTATTTCCGTTCTTCATTAATCTTCGTTAGTAACGAGGTAGTCCAGGTGCGAGATTAAGTTTTGGTAGGAATGGAACAGTAGGCGAAACCCACGTCTTCGTACAAGTAACTTCTCTCGTCAAGAAGAACGAATCGACTGGACCGGCTGCAGACGCAGTAATGGGCGTAGGCGTACTTTATACTGTACAAGGCAGAACTGTTAGAATAGTCGCATCGTAAAACTGGCGTCAGAAAGTTATATAATTTGGAAATACATCATTATTTATCAATTAATGCAAGAAATTGGCACACACCTAAATCTTATTGAGAGTTAGTGTGTAACCGTGGTTACAGCTGTCAGGCTAAGAAATGAAATCCTATCAAAGAGGAGGGTAAAGTAGGAGGAAGGCTCACCAGTAAGGACAGGCAGGACAGTAATAGGTTCAAATGCTCAGGAAAAGGTGAGAAGAAGGAAACCCTAAACCACCATCTACCTATATTAGCCCCTGATCAAATGATCTAAGTAAAGTTTAATCCACCTTTAGCGTCCCAATGGAGGTTAACCCCAACGTAAACTATGGTGAGCCTCAGTTAAATCCTACCTAGTTTATAACAAGATAAATAAATATTAAGTTAAACCTGCTATTACCACATTCACACAAAATTATAAGACAGTAGAAATAAAGACTTAGCAAGGATTAGGAGCCTGAAGTTTTACGACGATATTTGGCCAGGTATCTGAAATCAGGCTGGTACGGGAGATGTTGCTGCCACGGCTGCCAGTTCAAATCTAAATGAAATTACATGGGCGCCTCCTCGTCATCTGGCAGCAAGTGAAGAAGGAGATGCGCAAGAGAGTGGTAATTTCTTACACTACTACGAAAGCTTAAAAAAATTGTAAATTCAATTCACATTTCGTTTCATCATATGTCTAAACACACATACGCGTGTACATACATCGACACCATTCCATGAACGGGTGATGGTCATGGTTCGCTCAAATACTAGCATCTGATGAGGGTCGCCTGCCCAAGACCACCACTGCCCTGGATGTACATAATGGACCATCATGATTCCTGCCTTCCGGAGCGTAGCCTTCAACACTTCGGTAATTACCTCAACACTTCGACAAATTACCTCGGTCGAACGGTAATTTGTCGAAGGTCGATAAATTTTGGCACAGAACTATGCTATCTGAAACCTAACCTCAGATGCAGTGAACGTAAAATTACGTAATTTAACGATGCCCGGAAGTCATATTCGATCCGCGGCCTGGTGGTGCACGGCAGGTTCTATGCGAGGCCGGAGGAGGACAAAGCCAAGTGGTTCACTGCTGATTGGTGGATGTCCGGAGAGATCCAAGGCGTTCGATTCAGGGCTTATTGGTGCACAAAATTGGTGGCGCAGGGCTGCGCTCCCGCGTCTGACATAGTATAGTATAGTATGTTCGGCATTGAAGAATAGGCCTGGATAGGCCTGTCGCCGATTCTTGTACTTTTCTTGACCAGACTGGCCTTTTGATCAAATCTTTTCAACGGACGCCAGAAAAAGATTGAACAGCGCTTGACTCCCCGTCACTCCAGTCTCGATGGTCCGGAATGCCTCAGTCCGGACTGAAAAAGCCAGTTTTTCAATCGTCAGTCTCGCAGAGTCTCATAGTGGAAACGGGCCTTTAGGTACACACGCATCAACTGCAGACATAACTATGTTCTTGATGAATGACCAAGACTCCGCCA